TAACAGACGTATGCTATAAATTTTTATTAAATCAGTTTTTCAAGAATTGCTGGTCCAGCGAAATGTTTATGTAGTAATAACAGAAAACAGTTTAAGAACCAACACAGCTAGGCGGAATAAGCGAAGAACTGTCCTTGTTGAATTCTGGGTGGTCTATTTACACCCCCACTGAGTTTAGAAACCAAAGTCAAGAATATCGTTCCCGCCAGACCACCTGCGGCTCTAAATTTACAATTTCACGGTCGCCTGATTCGTCAAGACCTTATATCTGTCTTATGTTTGCCCTTGCTAATCTCTAGCGAGGGTAATAAATGATGCATCCTGCTATATATAATCCGCGAAGTGGTTGTGCGTGTGTGTCTGTGTGTTTATCTGTCTGACCGGAAATTCGTAGCTCAGGTCACAGCAATGATAGCGCTATCGCTTTTGAATAAAAGCGACAGCAACTGATAAGAGCTGATAATGCTTTAGAATACAAAAATCGTCGATTCCGTTACTTCGCTCGCGTTGATACCAAAGCAACCATACCTACCAGTGTTATAAGGTTTGAGACGTTGACATTGTTGAGGGGTGATTGGAAGTGATAACAATTGATAAAGGCTGATAAGGCGCGTCAAAACGCAAAAATCGTCAATTCCGTTTAGCTTGCGCTGACACTAGAGCGTCCCTACTTACAAATTCTACTTGTGTGGTACATACACATTGTATCATTGTGTGGCGCTTACTGAATAGCAGTCGATTGCACAAATGCAATCAAGTCTTCAGCAAATGATCCCAGATTCATTGAAAAGCTAATCCTTTTAGGGTTCTAAATAATGGTAAGTGTAAATAAATGATAAGCCTTAGCTCCTCACTTATGTAAATAGGCATATTTCGTTTTAATTCTATTCACAGCAATCCCATTCACCGCTAAAATATCTGAATTCAAGAAGAATGCTGGATGTCCACAGTTGAGAGATAAATATGCCAGTTCAGCTCCAAACGTTATACGCGTATCCTCGATGGACTTCAGAAAGGTCTAACACATTCAATAGTGAGGTGGTTAATGGTGTAGCTCTACTGGATATCCATGGGTGCCCTCCAGTTGCGCTAAGCCTTGCCGTATTATACCCGCGACTAGCGGCGGAGAAAACTGGCATCCTTGTTTTTATGCCTGTTTCACCTATCCATGCATTTCCTGTGGCTCACTGGAAACATGTTTTCACTAGAACATTTCGTTTTTTTAGCGCGCTTTCCATAAAAGGGTTCTGCTTTTCTCAGAAGGACGAAATCACTGCAGATGCTCAACTTTTGGTGACTTACAGCTGGCGTCATTTTTGACACTCACTGTACCCACTAAATGTGGTGCAATAAAAGTTTTATCGCGGCTAGTTTGCCAACCCTTCATTCTATACAATTGCAACTGGCCTCGATTATAGCAAGGTTCTGCATTCGCTAATTCCGATGAAAGATGATCTTTTCAGACCCGTTTTCAATTTTAATTTTCTATAAGTATTATTTTCTATATTATTATTCCGTAAGGTCTTGCACAAATTACATTAATTTTTTTAGAATCCGTAAATTTCGCAGCATGGTTTTTTGACGCAACAATTACTTTTTGCAATTTCACCAACCGGTTAGCTTCCGCTGTCCCGCTACTTATTCTGGATTTACGTAGGTTTCTGCGAGACCGCTCCTTTGGGCCCTTAATTTCACGAGTATTGCTTGGGATGTTCCGCAAGTCATGCTACACCAAGGATCCGCAGGAAGGTGGGCGAGGGCATTTCTCATCCTCTCTCAATTCACAGTGCATCGACGCTTCACTTTGCTCAGCGCAGAGTTTTCTTAGTTAGAGATGATTGACACCTAACACCTCGTGATTGGCTATCACGCTGCTCTACCTGACGTTGTTGAGAAGGGAGTTGGATGGACCATCGTTTGCCAGAGCAATTCTGATGCGACAGGGTGACAGCACTGAGGCATCTCTAAAGGCTTGCAAAGATCCCAAAATATAGAGTTTGGATCCCACATGCCTTGAGCCTGCGTCAGCTCCATACACAATCTGGCACCGTCACATTGAGTCCACTTACCGTGGATTCTTCGAATGATCATCCATCACAATGTCGAAGAAGTGGGGAAGGTACTGTGTGCTGACAAATAAACAAGCGTGAATAGTCTAGCTCAAACGCTTTGGGGCTCTGACTGCTAAAGTACAACTCGTTCACGTCGTGCCATTCCGGACTTTTGGTGGAATATGAGAGGGAGATGAGCTTTGGAAACCCCTCGCGTAGATATCCAATTAACGCGAAAGTCAATCGCTTGTGGTTCGATTGTAACGCCTGACGCATATCCCAAAAGATGCCACCTATTCCCCTCACCAGACCACTTCCTAGAAAAGAAATCTCATCCTAACCATTCTGATGTCGAAATCGATGTCTGATCTTTCTTCGACCAGAACTCTTTGGAGTTCTATGAGAGAGGCATCGAACAGCTTCTAGTGCGCTGGCGATACGTTGTAGATATTGATTGTGCGTATTATGCTGGATGAATGGAACAATAAGACAACAAAAATTTAAATTCAAAATCCAGCCTGTTTACTGCAAGACTTATGGACCAATCTAATACTTTCTATTAAGCATTAATTTCTCAAAAATAAACCCAATTAGTGGTTTAAGAACATGTAGAAAGGACGAAACTGACAGCCTTTTCAGAATGCTTTCAGTGAAGGAAGTTTCCAAATTTTGTATGAGCTAGTATAAATATACTGGAAATCATAAATTATTCATTTACCATATTTTGTACCAGACCGTGCTTAAAAATAGGCATCGTATTACTTGTGACGTCCTGCTCATTTTCTGATCTTTGTTTACCAGGGGATCTTATAATTCAAGACCGATGGGAAATTGCACGTCCGAATACTACCTTCGAGAGTGGTAAGAAGTAGCGTCGATGAAGGTTGCTTTTAGAAGTAGTGCATAGATCTCACTTATGATCTATCTGAGATTAATGGTGGTTGCTTGTCAAATTTTTGGTACGTGATGGCTCTCTGAAGTACCTAAAGGAAACAAAATGCGATTATGCGTAGACCAGTGCTCAACAAATGTGCACTTTCTTTGAAGAATAAGAAAACTAAAATATTATGTTGTTCGGAAAGTAATGCGGGTTTTGACCCTATTTTCAAAAAAGCATATTCACTCGAATCCATTATTTTTAGTTGTAACAAAGCATATCAAAAAGCGCTAATTTTTCTAAACCAGGTGCGTACTTGAATGATTCTCTCACATCAAGATCAGCGCTTGTGGAGGACACATGGTCCAGCGTGATTTACCCATCACTTTGAACATTGAAACATTTCTTGCCCAAAAGTTGGCGAGATGGCTGGAGAAGGGGGTATTGGTGAGGGAGAGGTCCAGTGAGTAGGACGTGTGGATCGAAGCTTTGAACGCCAATTCATCCAATACTTGCGAGGTCGTTTATGAAAAGTGTAGGCGCCACCATATGGATACTTTGTTCACTTCTCTCGGTTGACGAATGGGGAGAGATTGCCGAATGCAGCTCAATTTTCTAATTCTGTAATTTCGGTATTGGGAGATTTATCGCAGTCTAACTATCAGAGATGGCTTTCTATAATCCTAAAGAGTCCATTTTTGTTTAAATGACAACACACACCGAATACTAGTAGTTTTTGTTACGTGAGACACGTGGAAACGACCCCTTGGGAGGACGATAATGGTGCTACTTCAGCCAGCCCATGCGGATGCCATCTGGTCAGCTTTTTCAGCTCCCTAATGATCTCTAGAATTCACAATAGTCCCTATATACTTTACTTTCACTTTTAACTTTACTCTATATAACTTTCCTTGCTTTAGCCTTTGGTCTTATGTTCAGTTAAAAGTGGCATACGAGTTTCCTTGCTTTAGCCTTTGGTCTTATGTTCAGTTAAAAGTGGCATACGAGTATACAATAGATAATAAATAAATAATAAATAAGTGAATGAATAATAAATGAGTAAATAAAGGTACTTCTTGTAATACTGCTTACTGCAGCACACTTAGTCTGAATCATCTTATACAGAAATTTTCAGAAGTCCGTCGTCAACAGCAGGAACATGCTCATGACTTCCCTAACCTTCACCATGAAATTCTTCAGAACCAAAATTCTCGGGCTGTGCTAAGCTTTTATCGCTGTTTCTTTGGTACCGTTCTTCAGTGAGTACTTCGACAAGTCCGCAGAGCATTGCGCAAGAGTTTTAGCGCATCAAAAAAACTTGCCTAAACCACTGTTTTGAAATCTTCAGTTCAATTCCATAAAAAAACCCAAGATATAAAGTTCAAATATACTGGAAGAAAGGAGATAGAAAGGGTTTTGCCAGCGATATATAGGACTTGGGCTCTCGAAGGAAATTTTAGTTCAAAAATATTCCAGGTGTCTATGGCATCTCGAAACCCGTTATACATACTTTCCGAGCAACCTGATATTATAGCATATGTTCAAACCCTTTCGCTTCAGAAGGACCGGCTCGGCTATCACCAACAGACATGATACGATCCAGTATGCTTACTTGTATTTGTGAATGTGTGCCTTTGTAAGACAATTTTTCAATAGTTGGTTAAGAAGTTAGCGACGAATGATCTATCAGCTCAATTGCTTTCACTCACATATCGCTTCGAATAGCATGACAAACAAAGTAGCAGATTATAAATTTAGCTGAAATTTAGAATTAGTGGAAACTATCTCGGATAGAAACGCTTCCACAGATTCGAGATAGAGCCACATATTAAAAACAGAATAAGTTCAGGTTCCTCCCCTTAATTGCATGCTGTTTGAGATGTTCTGTGAACCGGTTCCGGAACATGCGTGACCGCATTCGTGTGAAGAACTTCGTGGATGAGCGACTCTCAAAACGTTGAATGTAGCACATCCGACCAAAAAATTGCCTGGAACAACCGCGAAGGTCACAGAGAATCCCCAATAAAAGCAGACAAGTGTGTCTAAGTGCATCGGAAGGCAGCGCCGACAAAATGCTTTTGCGTGCCATCTCACTGGTAAGCTCCTTCGATTCGAGATAACGAGAACAAGCCTTTTAAGCTTTGATGAGCAGAAATCTTGTCCATGCTGAGGATAGTTATTCGGATTAAATGAGATTGAAAGTTCCAGATTTTATATTCTCTCCATTTACTCGCATCGTGTAGTGAAGATTAGGATTCGTAGTGTTCTGCCTTCTCTTTGCCTCTGTGTCTGTAATTTTATCGATTTTGCTATGATTCCACTATGCTTATATAATGGTCCCGATTCAAAGGGCATATTGATGGCTTGTTCAGCGCTCACGAATGATTTAGATGTACTGCGTTTGACTTCAGTTAAGAGTAGCAGAGCCTGTTGGATTTCCTTTATCAACCTTGAAATTGTTCCATGTTTTTGATACCACAGTAAATTTCGACCTGATTACTGTCTCATTCAATGGACATGATCATCATCTCGTAGAACATCGCGTATAACATATTGCTTTGCCCATATAATAACGTATTGTTTTCATGACTTCCGAGGTGAGTTCTCTTCAGAGTTATTCTGTAAAGAACATTTGCTAGGCAAGTGAAGCTTGCCTATCATGATGCTCAGTTACAGTTGGCGCTGTTGCATTTTTCATACCATTTGACCATACGATCTGATTACCGTGGTTTTATTTTCATAAAAATATATCATTCAATCGCTTGTCATTCAAGTGCACATGTGCACATAAACAGAAGTGTCCTAAACAATAATTTGCTACCAGTCCGCTCGCTACCGCGCCCGTCCAAATACACCTCAATGGAACTGAGCGTAGCAGGGCTCTTGCTTCCAACAGCATTTTACCTAGAGGTTGCTATGGGCTGGTGATAAGGTAGTCATTTACAATAGCACGTCAATCCCATGAACATTCATCATTTTTCGGAAATCAATATGATCGAGCGGCTGAATAAACTTAGATAAGTAACGCGATTACTTGGGCTGCTTACTATCAACCATTAGCGTAGACAGCTGCCATGCTTCTTATGTTGGAATTTTTAGCGGCTGAATGACTTCTCATACCGAAACAAAAAAAGCAAAAAAAACCTTGAAACAGAAAACATGTATTACTTATTGTGGGATGCTGACAAGGACATTGCGAACGAAATGAAACTTTTTTGTCGCGCATTTAGACGACAACTTTCGTGGCTCTTCATTTCTGAGCTGATCGCTCTTATCAGTTTTATCTTTTGCTATGACCTTTTCGTCACCCAGTGAGTATATGCCCGTCCATTCTTTACCTCATATCCAGGGAACAACGCCTCATTGCTGCTGGAGCATGCGATACAACTCTCTCGTTCTAGCGCCTTCTATCATCCCCAATCAGTTAATGTCACTTTTTGTTCCGATGAAATATCTTTCCGTCCCATCCCCTATATCATATCCTGAAATCAACTCGTGATGGCCGCTCGCGCCAGCGCTATGAATTTCACAACACTTAGGTTCTAGCGCCTCTTGCACCCCTTATCAGTTGTTATCACTTTCTGTACCTCAACAAATATGTTGGCATTCCATCCTCTGTACATGTGTTGGAATCAACTCCTGACGACCGCTTTGAATTTCCGGTCAAACATACACACGCACCATCAGACACACGCCGATTATATATGTTAGGATACTTATCTAGGTGTTGTTCTCTGTTCTATTTATTGAGAAGCGCCGAGGATTGAGCGATAGTCTGAAAAGCCCCTGGAAAAAATCACGGTAGTTTTAAATCGGAACAATTTGTGTTGTAAGTTGGCTGAGAATCAAACATCTCATTTTATAGTCGCTTGTGTTGTGCCTTTAGCGTAAATCAAATGTTTCAGTTAGTGTTGGTTATACTGCTCCTTGAACTACCAACTTTAAAATGCGCAAGTGAGTTGGGATATCCTTCAGGAAAAAAAATTGATAGTACACTCGACGTTTCAGTTAACTGTCCAGAAAACAAGGGAAGCCTGAGTAGCGCACAAAGAGCAGCAGTATTGGATTCGATCAATGATGTTCGTAGAAAAGTGGCCAAAGGAAATCCCAAGCTACTACATCCGGAAGCTCCAACTGCAACAAAGATGAACAAACTGGTGCGGTCATTCTTTTTCAATTGATCAAAACTTCAAAATAGTACTCCAAGGTCTATGGCGAATTGGACGTTAAAGTATGCAGATGCCCAATGACTGATTACAGAAACCCACTAGAGTACTATAAAAAAAGCACATAGGATGAAGCATAGAGGCTTGATCAATCCCTTTTTGGGATGTGGCACGCATTCTACATCCATTCATTTCTTCTTCCATTTTTCTGGACATTCGTAGTGGCGTCTGAATGCGATGCGGCCTATGCAATGATTTGCCGTGGCTAGGCGATGTACCACCCAGTAATCCCTCATCCTCCCATATAAGTCTGGTGCCAGTTAACCGACCCCGGAGGAATGGTATGCTTGGTTGTCCCGGGCGACTCGCGACCCAGGATTTAATCCCCGGTACCGCTCGCGTGATAAGCGTGCCACATGCCATTTTACACAACTCCCGCCATAGAGTCTCTCTCTCTGTCACAAAGAGTTAGCATGCCTCTTCAATCCTATTTTCCCACCTAGCATGTCCTCTGTTCACGTCCCACTTTGGGCGAAACTGAAAATGAATGAAAGCAACACATATTAAATAGTAATATATGACATATAATTGCAAAAATACAAAATAATGCATAATTGCAGAAATATAGCTGTGAATACGAGAAGAAGGCTTTGAAGTTCACTGAAAGCAAAAACGACAATAACGGCGGATGGATAAGACATACAAGGTACACTATACCGTTTTCTTCCGCATAGATTTTGCAATCTGAGCCTATATTCAGAGACATAGAACGGCAAGTAGTCGCGGTTAGTAGTTCATACACAAATCAGCTTAGCGACATATTGCGTTGTCTCATAATTCCTGTCCGTTTTTTTGATCAAATTCAAATTTCTTCAAGTCGGATAAGCGTCATTGCGAAATATGTTGGTTTGTCAATGACTGCATCTGGGCCGTTAGACAGGACGCTTTGGAGTTTAAACCCGCATCTGAGTCGGAGTAACTGAGTAGAAGTCGAAATAGATCAATAACATTAACGAACGATAATGCTTTATGATCCTCAAATAGACGCTGTTGGAAGGAGGACCCTAGAGAAAATCAGCTCTGTATTTGGCTCAGTCTCTGCCACTGATCGGACACTGAGCTAGTGGTTCCGTTGCAATGGCAAAGACAATACAAGCTGTGACTACCTCATCATGGGCCTCCACTCACTTCTGATGAGGACCCCGCGCCTTGGACTGGAGGTACACATGAACGCTGCTACCAAGGTATTGTAGCAAACACCTGGACGCAGCCGATGCACCAGCACACGCTATCAGGATGGAGTGGGCAGCAGCACAATGAAGACTTGATATAAACCAGACCGAGAAGCTGGTCTGGCCCTCTGGAGGATTTTCATTTCGCGACCTCAATAGCAGAGCGTTCCCTAATTGATCACTAGTGGGTATGATTCATGAGTTCACTACGACAACAACACGCAGCTCGCTTGATGGCTACCTCGCGATCAATGCTCATCAGCTCAACAAAAGCCCAATCTCCGTGTTCAGATGATATTGCTTTCAATTTGTTAGGTTGAGTCAGTCTTCCGCCTTCACAGTCATTTTGCTATATGCGGACAGGTATTGCGAATGTCATCGTGGAACAGCTGCCGAGTACAGTAGGGGGAGGGAACCGTCTTAAACGTCCCAGAATCCCCTTTCTCTCGGATAGAGGGTCGACCTCACATTGAAAAGGTAACTCGCGACGTTCTGATGGTCGCTCCATCGGGCTATCCCTTTCACAGGGGCTTGAGCCAGCGGCGGCGAGTGGAAAAGTCACTAAATACAATCACTCCAAAAACGAACTTGCTGAATTCTCCAGCCATAGCTCCACCCATTCTAGAAGGAAAGCATACAAAGTTTCCCTGGTGAATCGTTGATTATGGTAATGGTTAAATTTTTGATCAATTGGTTTTTGAGAAAGATAAAACACGATGAGAAGAAGGTGTCGGAGTTAAGACAGGAATTATGGGACAATTATAGTTACTTCCCGAATGAAACCAGAACCCACATCGCAGGTACAAAGAGAGTAGCCCCGTAAACGCAAAATTCTTGAATTTTTCACACTTATACCTTACCTTGAATACCTTGATGTCCGCTCTTCAGGAGTGATTCCGCCACCCCTGCAAGTCGCGTCTATGTCATTCATTCCGATTTCTTGCACTTTGTTGCTATCTCTCTCCAAATAGTCCCATAAAAGGGTCACCACACCTGGCTTTATTTCTTCCATGCGGCCTTGTTACTTCGCGTGAATACCAGTCGGTCACTCGAGATGTCCAACGGTTGTCGCTAAGACGAGCCACTGTCCTGCCAATCGCTTCATCGGGTCGTACATAGACTCGATCACATCTTTACCACCGCTTCGCCTTCGAATTTCACGAGCAGGAATCTCATACATCGACGTAATAGTGCGCAACGCTCGCTCCCTTGCCCTTTGGGTAGAAGTCACTTTTCTTTCTTCTTCTTTGTTATGCTCCATGTTTCGCCCTCGTACACCAAAGCCGAGGACATGGGTGTTGAACACTCGGGCTTTAATCCCGGCCTCAAGCCGCTTACCAGTAAGAAAGAAGAATATCACGATATTTATTAAATTTAGCCCAATCTGCCTTAAACGACGTCCTATCTATTGTGATATTATAGTCCATTGTAATGGGCTGGAAACGTGAAACTGTTCTTCGCCCATTCAGTCTTGCCTGGGTGGATTTCAAGTAATGAAGCGAGATGCTGCTAGGATCTCTAATGAGTTCTCAAACTTACTCGGACCATTACCGATAAGTACGATCGTCCGCAAACATCAAGCTAAAGTCTTTCACTATATGTATCAATGCCGCAGAGCAATTGGATACTTTGCATCACAAGTTTTAGAACAGAAGCTCTGGAGAAGTGACTACGCCTTGTCGTACTCCGCGTTGAATCTTGACGCGGATCAGGTTTTTGAGTAAGTTGATGTCAGTGTAGCAGCTCGCGCTGCATTGTTGTATTATTTCGACGTATCTCCGAGGAACTCCGAGAACTGAGGGCGTTTAGCACTGCTTGATATCCAACCGTGTAAAAAGCTTTATTGAAGCCGATGAAGAGACAGCATACAGGAATTCGGTATTATCGACATCTTTCTTTTAGTTGGAAGACGACATCTGATCGATAGTAGAAAATCTTTCGCGAAAACCGGCTTGCTCTGGACATGTATTCATGTTGAGAATTAAGGGATGCGGTTCAGGATGACGCGTGAAAAGACCTTAAGCAATACCGATGGAAGCCCAATTGGGCGATAACTAACAGCCAAAACATCATGTGGTCCCTCTTTACATATCAAAATAGGGTTGGCGCCTAGCCAGTCTTTCAGAACTTTTCCTGATGCAAATATTTCCGTAGTATATCTGCTAGTGGACGCGTATTCCGATAGGTATTTCAATTGTTCTGCTCAAATGTGGTCCGGCCCGGGTGTTCATGCTCCTTTTGTCTGCCGGATAGCCTGTGCCACTTCCGATTCTTGAACCTCGCCATTCCTTCATTCCGGCTACATCTATTATTTGCATCTTCGAATAGCATCGCAAATGGTTGCACTAATACTTTAGTGGAGAACAAATCTGGCTAAAGCTTAGTATCTCTTCTTCTCATATATCGGAATGTTCCCGTCGCACTCCCTATATCATGTCCCAAAAACAGTTCTTGACGACTGCTGCGAAGCGCACTATAAATTTCGTAAAATTTGTGTTTCGCGCCTCTTATCTGCTCGTATCAGCCGTTATCACTTTGCGACCCCCACAAAATATGTTCACGTCCCACCCCCTATATCATGTCCCAAAATCAGTTCCTGATCACCACTGGTGCCCGAGCTATGAATTTCTGGTCAGACAGACAAACACACACACGCACAACCCCTTAGCCGATTATATATAGTAGGCATACTTTATAATATATATTATATATATATTTATACGTATATTTATATAATATATACGTTTATTTCTTTCCACGTTCACACTGCTTGGAAATTTAAGTCGTATTTAATTTGTAGGGGAGTGTAGCTCGGGCTAGTGCCTTAGTAGTGAACAACAGTGGATCGCTTTCATTGTGCTAAATACGCGTAGCAAGCTTCTTATACTGCACATTGGTCAGTGGTAAAATATGAGGTTACTTCGAAGCGCTGTTGCGTTTAGATCAATTTCGTTTAATTTTTGGTCTCGGTGAGTTTCTCGTTTCTCAGCTGGAGCTGCCTTGTATGCCATTAATCATTTCACATCAGTAGGTATGCTCTTTGACTGCTCACCGGTGAAGACGGAGTTCTGCGAGTTGAGTGGATCGTCTCATCTCTTGAGTCCTTATACTGTCGACACGCATCTTAGCCGCTTCAAGATTAGCTCATATGGATTGTGGTTAGAAATGTGAGGTGCTTTACTTTGCATCCCATTTTTGAGTCGACCACTTCAGACTGTGTCACCGATGAAGGGAGCATATCGTGCAAAGTACACGCACTTGCACACCCCTGACATTTCTCTCGAACACTACTGTCGCTTTTGCAAGTTATCTTATGCTCAGCCGTAGCCGTATCGTAACGCTCCTTTTTAGCAACTCTCAGTTAGGCAAGTAATTTCTGTAGACACGCTTCAGCCAGACTGTGCGCTCGCGTTCATCCTAACTAACGGCAATGGCAGAGAAGTGATTCTATTTACAACAGACGGTCCGCTGGGTCTCGTTTTTTTTCATCACATATATCACATCACGTTAATGAACGCCGCTACCCATATATCATTGAAAGGAGCCTGAATTCACTTACATGTCACGCCAGAAAACTGATTTAATGGCGTACGCTGTATCTCAGCTAGTGCTATATTTCGCAATGTTGCTACAATTGCTGTTTTGATGAAATCTTACTGTTTTGATACATCGCTTAGTTTTCCAAAATATTGCGATGGCCTTGCGCAAGCTTACGGACATAATAGATCAACAATGGCTTGTATTGGACTCAAACACTTGTTTCAATTTACATGTTGTTCTAAGCTTTTCTAGAAACTTGCAGTGCCACAATTTAGCCAGTTTCGCGGAAATCTTGATCGGGAGCTGCCGAAAATGTTCGAAGAGTATGCAATGAAAGTTGGAGTTGCCAGTGTAAGTAATTTTCGTTGCTGATAAGTTCTTTTTGATTACTTTTCATAGAATTCAGATAGCTCATGATATGGCAAAATATGTGGGCTGCGCCGTGAAGAAAAATAAAAATTCGACTTTGACGGTCCACTGCAACTTTGATAAAGGGTAGGATTGATAACGTTGTAACCGGAGCTTACCTTGGATGTTAAGTCATCATTACAGATGGAGCTATCGCAAAACCAAACAGCCTTTTGTGAAGACTGGAGCGCTGTGTTCCGAATGCGTTCCAAACGGAGCTCGCTCGTGTGATGATGGCCTCTGCAAAGTGTAACGACATAATCGTAATTTTGTCCAAGAAGTCAGCGTGTGACCAGCACATTTTATCAAGAATGCCGAAACTATCGTTCCACTACTGCTACCATCTTTTCTTATACAACTACTACATTACTGCGTACAGGTGTCACTTAGCATCCGAAGGCCTTTGGGCTGATTAATAAGGTTCTCCTTCAACTTGCGCTAGACTTTTTCACAGTAGATTTAGTTACAAAAATACCTTTATTAGATATGTTAGCAGCGGTAGCTCAAGGACTCTGTTTAAGCTTCTAGTATAATATTTTTATACAGCGAATTCTTGGACCTTTCGATCGCTGCGTTTGCTAATAATGTGGAATGAAAGTTTTCACACTTCTGTTGCGTTGTTCTTGAGTTCATGCAGGTTCTTCCTGCTCGAGATAGGGAATAATCGGGGATGCGGGAACCAGCAGAGCATTCGGTGATAATCCATCCAAGTCTGAAGGCTCTGCGCACTCTGGTTCCGTACAAAACCACATAAGTATTCCAATGCGACTTGATCTATGAAAAGCTCGTGCGACTAACATATGTCTAAGTTAGTATTCACTAATCGAAGAATATCCCTAACAGAAATGCAAGGCCTGAAAGCCCTGGACAGCATCCGAGCCTGCTTCTTTACCCTCGAGAATAATGTAATGGTGGTGCCGTTACATCGTACATTTTCCATCTATCTCTACGCAATCGTCGGGAAAATAAATCGAATAGCTTTCAAATCAAACTAGCCGTTTCATGGGCAGGTGTCATTTCTATGAGTGTGCAGAAGCGATGAAAACTTTGGGAGCTCCACGGCATTCGCTTCAAATGCTAATGGAGAACTAATGGAGAATCCAGAGCGGAGACGATACCATATGAAAGTACATTGCAACACAGTAGCGATACTAACACCTTCTTCAGGAAAATGGAGGACTTTCAAATGCCAGTGCGACATCTAACCACAGACAGGTGCGCGGCGTATACCCGAGCAGGCGTTTTCCCACAAAAACGCTTTCTCTGTCAGGAGCCGTACGCAAACAAACTTACAAATAAAATTTTGATGATGCCAAATAAAATCTAAGCGGAACAAACTGTAGCGAACTTGCTGTATTGAGTTCTAAAAACCGCTTGGGAAATCAAGGCAGAAAAAAGAACTCTAGGAAATTTTAACTGTTTCGAAGTACCTACTCTTCGAGCACATTGTAACAGACACCGCTTCTCATCACACTGATTTTGAAGGAAGTTATGGGCCTTTGAAGACTGCATAGTCGCGGTCCAGGAAAATACTTGAAAAAAATTAAGGTGGAAAAAACGGAACAACGGGACTATTTTTTGAGCGAATGATTCTTTGAAAAAGTTCTAGAACATATTTGGAAGCTCCAATTTTCTAGTTTCTAATTAGCCTTGAACATATGCAAAAAGTAGGCTTTGAAGAAATTTATGAACGTTTGAATGTCGAAAACTCGCGCCTTCTCAAAATCGGACCACAAACCCCCCAAAAACGGAACAATGGGACTATTTTTTGAGAAAATGATCGCCGGAAAAACCTCAGGTGCTTGTTCGAAAGCACTAATCTTCTAGTTTCTAATTAGCCTTGAGCATCTGCGAATAGTTGGGTATGAAGAAAGTTATGAATGTTTGAATGTCGAAAACTCGCGTCTGTACGAAAAAGGAACAACGGGACGATTTTCTGAAATATTGAACATCCGCAACATTTTGGATACTTTTTAGAAAGAGAACAATTTGAATTTTCAACATTTTGGTGTCCGGTTCCATGAGACCGCTTCTGAAGAAAAACCTTCAATGGAAGGGTTTGGATTGCAACGTAATTGCTACGAGGTTTAGTTTTTCAGATTATAAAATAAAGAAAATTGTGAGATCGAAAAAAAAACGGTGAGTTTCTGAAAGTAGAAATCTCTATGATTACGATCATATATTGGTTTACGCAGAAACTCGGAAATTCTCTCTATTCAAAAAATAACTTCATGTTGCCTCGATTCCCTCCTCTGAGCGAGACAAAGCGCGCGGATTGACCACGGTCCACCACTTCTCCATGTCGGTGACTGCCCAAACATCAACGATGAGCATCAAATTATGTGAAAGTTATAATAGTCAATACGGGGGGGGGTCGTACCGATACCCTCCGACAAGGAAGGGGGTCGTAAAAATTTTGGAATTTGCGCAACGCAGGGTTGACCCTGCTTTTAGGTACTGAATTTGAAGGCTACACTTTTGGAATTGAATTAAATTGGTCGATGGAATTCTGGGCTAGAGTGAGGATGGTACAAATTCTACCTTTTCGATGAGGTGCACGTCCCAATAGAGTGTTGATATTGGCGTTTGCTTCGAGAGATCAATTCGACTTGAGCTTAAGGAGGTGTCAAGAGGCATCATCGGCTCTCGGCTTTTTCGACATGTTCTAATGAGCAAAAAAAATGCATTGCATTCTTCATGCTGCCCCTGTACATAGCAGAGTCGAGAAATCACTGGACACTGAGAACTAGCAAATCACTGAGGTCTGCGACATGCTCATCTCAACACAACTTTACTCTCTCTTATTGTCGGGATCTGAGACATAAAATTACACTTTCTGTTGAGAGAACGTTTCGCGAGCTTCAAAACCATCTTCAAGAAGGTAGATTTTCCCGGCAGCCTTCTGACCAAGCTAGCCAGAAAACGACTCAGTGGTTGCGTGGGACGCTTTTCGTGATCTAAACGCTTTCTTTTGCGTCATGGACTAAGATGAAGCGGAAAAGGCTTTGTAGCAGAGATTTTCTAGAGATTAACTATAGGAAAATTTTTTTTCTGTTCAAACTGTAAAGTCAAAAAAACCTCTGCACAGTTACTAGTAGTTCTTTTACATTGACTTTCTAAAAGTTACATGATATTCAGTAGTTAATCCAGAAATCAACAAGCGAAACTAAGCTTCGAAAGGATGCACACTTCGAAAAAGGTCATATATTTCAATCAAGGTCTTAGGTTTAAAAGAATTATGTTTCGCATTGTATTTTCCACTTGTTTATGGATCTATTACGTGGTTTGAGACAAAAGAATTGAAGAAGTTTCTATAGGAAAGATGATTTTATGTTCTACATTGGACAGTGCCTTCTAATTATGTAAATGCATTAGTGTGGGGGCATGAAGGTAGTCAGCCGCTGAATGAATGTTGACATTGGCGGTAAGTTCGTGAATTGCGAGCGGTGCAAGACTGGAACATAAAATGGAAACTAACATAATAAGAACTAACATAATCCCAATTACTATAAAGCGCTTTGTCTGTCGTCTGTCTGTCGTTCTGTATCTGTCACGAAATTCCCTAGCTCCTCGGGATCCGCCTGGAGGGACCGGGTCAAGTGAGGAATGGGTGGGCAAGGTCTCACGAAATGCGAAATACACATCAGCTAAGCGGAGCCCCGCCCACAGAGGGCGTGGCGTGCGTCGAAATGAACTGTACCAAAGACCAAGATTTCAATTTCAGTGACAAAACAACCTCGAATTTGGGCCAAAAAGTGGGTAAAGCTGTGCACTTGTAAGTCACATCGATTAGGGAAACTCACCCCCGGCGGGCGGGGCGTTCTCTAAAAAAGCAGTGCTTTATGAAAAATTTCATAACTCGGTTGGGAGAAAGCCTACAGAGCAGAAAACAATCAGGTGTTAAGGAGCAATTCTGAGGTATTTCCTGCTTACATGACATGACGCCCAGAATGGGCGGGGTGCGCTCTGAAGTGTACAGCATTTTCTACAATTTCTGCATTTTTCACATTTTCTACATTTTCTGATTTTTAGCATTCCTCATAATTCGGGTCGGAAAAGTCTTAAAGAGCCGGAAAAAAAGGTAAATAGAGGTGGGTGGAGGAGTGGAGCCCAGCTGTCATCGGTGGGCGGGGCTTGACCAAAGTGGGCGGAGTTTGCGACGAAAATTCATAACTCGTCTCAAAGAAGTCCCGGAGGCCCGGAAAAAGTTAGGATGGAGGTGGGTGGAGGAGTGGAGCCCAGCTGTCATCGGTGGGCGGGGCTTGACCAAAGTGGGCGGAGTTTGCGACGAAAATTCATAACTCGTCTCAACGAAGTCCCGGAGGCCGGGAAAAAGTTGAATGGAGGTGGGTGGAGGAGTGGAGCCCAGCTGTCATCGGTGTGTGGCACTTGTCCAAAGTGGGCGGAGTTTGCGACGAAAATTAATAGGTCGGCTCCAAGAAGTCCTAGGGATAGGGGAAAACGGGGTAGAGGTTGGCGAGGGAAAAGAGGTCAACTGCTATTAGCGGGTGGAGACGCACCTATGTGGGCGAGGTCTGCCAATGGTGTCGTGATTCGGTTGCAGGAGGTCCCAGAGACCGGTGAAAAAAGGGGTAGAGGTCGGCGAAAGGAGGGGCCCCAAATGCCATTGGTGGGGGGCACGCACCGAAGTAGGCGGAGTTTGCCACGAGACTTATCGTCCGGATGTAGTCCGGAGAACGGGAAATAGAGGATAATGGTTGACGAAGAAAAAGAGTTCGAAAGCCGTCGATGATGGGGCGGATAGAATTTAGCTGAAAATTCAGATATTCGTGGTGTATCGAGCCAAATTTGAAAATTTTCGTCGCACCATCGAAATTCGCCGCAGATCTGTGTTGTGCGCGCAATGCGTGCGGCGCCAACTGGTAGAAATATACAGAAGGTATGCACTCCTCCCCTTCTCAATAAGCTCTTGAGCATAAGTAGGTCCAACAACCCTTCAAACAACTAATGAGTAAGCAACAATTCAGGGAGTGTCGAAATTCAAGCGGAGCGACTTCACCTGGGCTCCAGCATTGCTTCTCAAAACGGAAAGGGCTTTAGGGCGAGGCATTGTGCAGCGCTGATAGGTGATCTTTTGGCCTCTCTATTGCTCTTTTTTCAAGCTACCAAAGCGACACGGCAACTGCGCGACTGCAATATATAATACCACGATCGGAAATGGAATTGGTCTTTGTGCCACATCGCGGACCGTGCGAAAGAAGTGCCATCCGGGTTTAATTCTCTGATTATTTT